GCATCGGCATCCCAGCCGAGCGGCTGGGCCGCTGTGAGTCCCGGCCCAGGGCCCCTCCTTCCAGTAGGGCCTGTGGGAGGGCTCCAGAGCAGGGTACCGGGCAGCCCAGGCCACACCGCGCTGGCCCCTGCCTGTCCTTGGGACACCAGTAAGTCACCACCTCCCCGAGCCTCAGACGCCACTCCCTGCGGCGGAGTAATCTGCCTGCCGGCCACAAACACGGAGGCTCGGCGGCAGGGCACCAGCGCAGAGGCTAGTCCTTCCTTAGGCCAGGGCTTCCCCGAGTGGGCGGGGCTCCTCCTGACACCGGAGCCTGCTCGCTGGCCTGCTGCGCTCCCCGATCCTGGCTGCAGGGCTTACTCGGTGCGACGTCGGACAAGTTGCTTAAACATCCTTCCACCTGTTACATGCGAATAGTAACTCCTAACCCCAGGCCTGGCTGGGAGAGGGGGGGTCCCCCTAACCCCAGGCGGAGCTGAGCCGTGCTCCCTGGTGAGGGGTCTGAGGGTGGCCAGCTGGCAGCCCCTCTCCTGCAGTTTGGCTTTGCTTCCAGAGCCGGTGAACACGAGGCTGGCTGAGCTCATGCCGGAGTGGGGGTGCCGGGTGTGGGTCCCAAAGTTGGTTCCAGGGTCGTGGGATCACTTCTGGCAACTTTCCTTCCCCACATATGTCCCTGGTGCACCCCAGTTGAATTAGTGAATTTGGGGCTTTGTTAAATTATCTTTAATATACAAGCCTCTGTCATTGGAGACCCCAGTTTGAGTGCCTGCGGGCTACTGGCTCGGTGTCCTAAAGCCTGAGGTGCTCTCCCCGAGCGGGGCTGCTGCTCTCCATCGGCTCCTAACCCCTCTCCCCTCTCAGACCATCAGTGCTACAACGGCTCGGGCACGGACTACCGAGGGACGGCGAGCACCACCAAGTCAGGGCACCAGTGCCAGCCGTGGGCTCTGCAGCACCCCCACAGCCACCACCTGAGCAGTGCAGACTTCCCGGAGCTCGGCGGGGGGCACGCCTACTGCCGGAACCCCGGAGGGCAGATGGAAGGGCCCTGGTGCTTCACGAAGAACAAGAACGTGCCCATGGAGCTGTGCGACGTGCCCCCATGCAGTAGGTTCTCTCTGTTGCGTGCACTTGGTTTGCCCTGGCCCGGGGGCTGGTGCTGTCACCGCCCCCTCCATGGCCACGATCGCTTGTTTTATGTAAAACTGTTGCTGGTTATAAAAGTAATAGCTGGTCATTATAGCACGTTTTACATCATAGAAAAGTCTGAAGAGTCATGTGCAAATCACCCCCAATTTCCTCACTGTTTGCATTTGGCTCCTGTCAGCCCTTTTCCTGTGCATGGTCCTGGGACATTCAGTTTGCATCTTGCTTCTCCATCAACATTATTACGTGGCATTTCCCAGTGTTAGCTGGGGCCCCGGGAGGCAGCTCCTCGCCGGGGTCTGACCGGGCCCTGCCCGGCCTCCCCAGCTCCCACGCAGCTCAGCAGAATGAGAGAAAATTAGAACCTATATCTCTTACCCATGGGCCCTGCGATTTCTCTGTTGGATTATGAAAAGGAGAAGACCTTGGCGTTAATGGTTGCAAACATTATTATCCTGTATTCCAACATTTACTCCCACCAGCTCCACTCGGCTGGATCCCTGAGATCGGGCTGCTCCTGAGTTTTCCATTTTGGAGCCTGAAGTAGAGGGTTGGAGGGAAATCACCAGGAGAAGACTGATCGGGAGGGAATGGGTGAAGTGCACCGAGGCTCACCAGCCGCCCAGAAGCCTCTGCCAGCAGCGGTGGCGGGGCCTGCCTCCAGCCTGCAGCAATGGCGGGGCCTGCCTCCAGCCTGCATACTGTGTTTCGGGTCCAGACCTGGCACGCCCACCGCTTGGCCGCCCAGCACATCTTCAGCAGCATGTTCACTTCGGAGTAAATGTCAGGCGTGGAGATGTCAGTTAGATTACCGCACAGCTACGTGGTGGAGGGCTACAGGGCCTGAGAGTGTCCTGCAAGGATGTGCATGATCGGTGCAGGAGCAGGAGCAAGTTGCAGGCCATTGGCTGTGTTCTGTCCCTCCCGCCTCTTACCTCCTTTCTCTTCCCTTTCTGTTTTCAGAAAAACAAAAACAAAGAAAGCTTTGTGTGTGCGCATGTGTGTGCATGCATGTATGTGTGCACGTGTGTGCATGCATGCACATGCACATAAGCCCTATATTTCAGGGTGAAGTTTGGGGAAGATGCACATCAAACTTTTAGCAGTGACTTCCCATGACTTACAGATACATTAAAATATAAAACGTTGTTATAATGAGTAGTTACTACTTTCGTAGTTAAAACAAAATCAAAACATAACGGGAAAAAATGCATGTTCTTTGACCCAGCAATCGCAGGGGTCTTATATTGCAGAAATATTTGTAGCTAGAGGGCAGAAATGCAAGGATATTTGTTACAGAATTACTTGTAGCGGCTGAATAAGAAACAGACAAGTTGTTTGCCTGTAGGGGCTGGTGGTACACAGGCTAATGCATGGCCACCAGGGGGCGCCCGGAGCTGTCTGTCCTGAGAGCAGCGCCAGGTCCATTTTCCTGCCACAAAACCAGAAGCGGGATGTGGACGATGTGACTCTATGAACTCAAACTTCTATTTTATGAAACTGACGCTTCTATGTATAAAAATAGTTGAATATTGTTATTCCGTGTTCAACTTAAAGTCAGGGGGACAGCAACCTCTTGGCCATGGCATAGCCTTTGGTGACGTGGGCTGTTAGGAATATAACACGCATGGGCTGTTTGTGATTTTATTTGTTTGTTTGTTTATTTTTGTTAATCCTCTCCCGAGAATATTCTCCCCATTGATCTTTAAGGAGAGTAGACGGGGGGAGGGATTGGTTGCCTCCTGCCCACACCCTGACTGGGACCAGGGGTCGAGCCTGCCACTGAGGTACGTGCCCCTGACCAGAATCAAACCCGAGATCCCTCAGTCTGTGGGCCGACACTCTAACCACTGAGCAAAATTGGCTGAGTGTAATTTTAAAAAGATAACGATAAGATAAATGTCATACTAGTGTTTGGGCGGGCTCACACCTCTGACGGTGGCCTGAGGCTGTGGATGCTCCCCGAGCCCTGGTGATGAAAATTGAGTTGCATTGCCCGGGGCTTCTAGACCACCTGCCCCCGGAGGCCCGGAGCGGCCTGTGTGGCCTTGTTTCATTTGGGAGCCGGGAGGCCAGGCCGGGTCTGGGACACGGCTGTGTGACTGTAGTGGCGGTAGAGGTGGATTAGCTCCTCCAGAGACTGTGTTGGCCAGAAACTGCTTGTCACCTTCCAGGTGGAGAGCTCATTGTCCACTGGTCACAGGGCACCGCGCCCCTGTGCGTACTCTGGGGCCGCTGCTCCTGGCCCTGCAGGGGGAGGCAGAGCGCTGCTCCCCTCCTGGCCCTGGTCCCCTCCTGGCCCTGCAGGACGGCGCTTCCGGATTCTGTGCCCCTGCTGCCTGGGTCCCTGGTTGGTCGGTGCCACTTAAATGCTCTTCTAGTCATCGTCCTAAGAGAACATACTGATATTAAAAAATGTGGCCCATCCTAGTGTACGGGATGAAGAACAGGTCATTTTTAATCCCAGTCCTGAGCTTCCTTCACTGAGGACGTGGGTTTCATGAACATGAACCTGGCTGCAGCTGTCTCCAGGCGGTGCGCAGGAAAAGCGGGGGCGGGAGCTGGGAGCCACCTGTCGGTGCCCGCATTCCCACTGCTCCCAGGGGTGGCTCAGGGCCCATTCCGCAGTGTGTAGTGTGCATCGCCCTTGCTTTTCAGGCTGGGCTGTAATTTTGTCCTTCGTGCAGCTGACCCGATACCCTCATGTGCTTAAATGTTGCGGTTGGAGGTGGGAGGGGCTGTTAAAGGCGATGTTTTCTGAAGCTCACGGATGCCTTGCCGCCCACAGGCCCCCAGGACGGCAGCAGGATGGGCATCCTGTACATCCTGGTGCCCAGCATCGCCATCCCCCTGGTGGTCGCCTGCCTCTTCTTCCTGGTCTGCATGTGCCGCAACAAGCAGAAGGCGTCGGCCGCCGCGCCCCCGCGCCGGCAGCTGATGGCGTCGCCCAGCCAGGACGTGGAGCTGCCCCTCATGGGCCCGCACAAGCAGGTCTCCCCGCCCCTCCGCCTGCCGCCGGCTTTCTTACTGTGCTCCACGCTCCACACTTACCTCTTCAGCTGCCTTTCATTCTGTTGTTTCTTCTCTGAAACATGCCAGCACGTTGGTGCCCTCGGAGAATGCGTACTGGGCGTTGGAACTCCTGTCCTGGCAGCGGGCTGCACCCTCGGCCCGAGCCCACCGAGCCGCCCTCACATGAGAGCTTCTGCTGTGCCCACCGGGCACCAGAAGGCTTGGCAGGGCCCCACCACCTGAGGTCAAATGGCATTTTTAAGGGGCTGGGCCTGCTTCCTGCTCAGTTGGGGTGTGGTTGGTTTGCTTGGTTGCGTGTGATTTTCAGGGAAGGATGGAGCCAACAGTCTTGTAGAGGAAGTGGGGACAGCCCCCACCCCAGGGGGTCAGGATGGTGAGGGCCAAAAGCAGTGCCAGTCCCTCCCTGGTGCTTGGCTGCTCCGCCTGCGGGGCCACGGACTCTGAAGGGGAGGGGCTCCTTCAGCTCTGTTTCCAGGGGCCACGTAGTGTTCAGGGCAGGGGTGGGTGGCTGGACCGCAAGGGGGACATGGAATCCCTTGGGGCCAGGGAAGCTCCCAGAAGGATGGGGGCCAGACACAGAAGGGCGAGAACCGTAGAAGTTGAGGTGCAGGTTCGCATGGATTTCACTCACGTAGTGCATCCGTGGAAAATTACCTAATTGAGAGGAAGCACCAGGAGAGCAGCCGGGCGGGCTCTGAAGTGCAGAGGTCGCCGCCCACTGGGGCTGGAGAGAGAGCCAGGTCTCCCCGGGTGATGGACGCCTGCGCTCGGCTTGGTTAGGTGCAGCGAACAGGTGTGCTCGCAGCCGCTGGCTGGTGCTCAGCTGCTCTTGGGGCATCATTTGCAGCCTGAAGAGGATCCGTGGAAGGTTTCAGGCAGCTTGTGCCATGAGGGCGTGCTTAAGAGCAGAGAGCAGTGTGGGGGCAGGGAGCCAGGAGCAGGCAGGCGAGCAGGTGCCCCCCAAGCCCCCAGAACTCCCCTCTTCCCTCGGGTTGCAGTGGCAGGAACGTCTCACCGGCTTCTCTTCCCGCAGGCCAAGCTCAAGGAGATTAGCTTGTCCTCCGTGAGGTTCATGGAGGAGCTCGGGGAGGACCGCTTCGGGAAGGCCTACCGAGGCCGCCTGCTGGGCCCCG